GCCATTATTTTTAATCTTTGATTGACACGCCGATATGTTCACTACACTCAATATATTTTCCGATACAAAAATGTGATATCAAAACTGATTCAATAGTAGTAGTAAAATATTTAACCACAGAGGGTGTTAGCATTACATGTATATTACTACGCTCTAAAATAAGTGTATTTATGTATTTCTACAAATATTGAGTTAATGCCACAATTAATATGTTAAACGTATTGTTTCACTGTATGAAGTGAATGTCCCGGGAATCAATTGAAAACAAGCGGTTATTACTAAGATTACCATTGGTATACTTATTTATTCTATAAATATGTAAACTATGTCAGTATTGGCCGTTTCAAAAGTATTTTTTTCTAGTTTTCAAGGAGTATTAAAGACGACTTCGCCGACTTCATCTGTATGACAGCATGGTTTTGATATCAATTACAAACAATTCTCTGACTTAAACATTTACACCTTAATGTCTTAACATATGCATCATCAAATAGAATGTAATATAATATCCGATATAGTAAGGGAATTTTATTATATAATTAGAAAACACATGATAGAATATTTGTTTTCTTGCCGTGTACATCATTGCACATATATTTAATGCCACAGTTTGTAAACGACTTAATGTCGGGTGGGATATAGATGCCTAGAGAAAATATATAACGTTGAAAACAGTTGTAATTAGAGGTTAATATTCAGGATTACCTTGGATTACCCCAAGAAAACTTCATTTTATATTTAAAGCCAATATTATACGCGACTATGAATCACTCCGGCAAATACGTTTCAAGGGCGAGCACAACTACACACAAAGTTATATTCTAACATATAAGTACTTTGTGATTTATCTAACGTATCTACTGAATTCAGATTGCAAGAGAAACACAAAAAACATGATAAATTAATAATATTAACAATTAAGTTTTAATTAATAGATTTAATTAATAGCTATCACCATAGAAACACTGATTTTTTTTTTGGAAATGGGGCGAAACTAACAGTATATTATAAAAGCTTTTGTTAAAATTCGCGTATATTGGACTTTATAACATTCAAATTGTCGGGCACCCTCTTGGAAAATTCCTAGATCCGCCTCTGCATCATGATGGTATGTACAAGAGGTCGCTGTGTTCTCCTTTCAAGTGACATACAAATCATATTTCCATAAGGGGATTCGGGTTCGTTCATTTTTTCATACAATTACAGCTACACGCGCCGAATAGGTTCAGTTTTACCTTTCACTCTGCCACGTAGAGTCGCCAACAGTAACGACGCCGCTCTGAGCGCCACGCCCGGATTTTGGAGAGACTGAAGAGACAAATTATTACATAAATAATAATAATATTTATTTACCCAATAATAATAATAACAATAAGAAACACTGAAAAATAATAACAAAAGTAAGCCACACACGAAAACAAATACGAAGAAAAACAAATGGTAAGAAAAAATATATATATTGGGTAAAAAGGAAATCAGAAAATAGCTTACTGCTAGTCTAGTATGATTTCCAATATACACTGGAAGTAAATTATAATGTATAAAGTGGAGGGCAAAAAAATAAGTATATTAATATGAAGATTAACTAAACAAATAAATAAATAACTAAATAAATGAATATGTAAATTAATACAAATCAGTGATAAATAAATATATAGCTTATGAATCAATAAATGAACAAATACGATAGTAGGTTAGGTATTGATTATGCATTTAAATATGAACCCACCAATCATGTTGTCATTACCTGCGCGTCCCTATACTTTGCACCAATCACAACTCTTATCAAACGACAATAACTTATGTATA